TAAATAATAATAAATAATAATAAAAATACTTTTGCAGACTGCCTCCCCAAGCATTCCCAGTTCACTTTCCAATTCATGTTTGGAATACACAATAGCAACTTAGTTACCAATAGCCATGAAGTTGAGATTTTCATGGACGGTGATGCAGGATACCAGTGTGAGTTTGTTGCCTTGTATTGCAGGGAAAATCCTGGTGCACTGAGGTGTCCCACCATCGCGTTTCTCTAAATTCCAGACTTTGACCTACAAACAACCACAAAGAGACTGTTGGATTGGTAAGTTTTGTACTAGGTTGCTTAGCTTGTATATTTTGCAATCATAACACCTCCTTTTAACTGTATCCTTCTTGCTTTATATTGACTAGTTTTATTACTCTCTCTGGGGACAGGATAATAGACCTTGCTTCTGTGGAAGTTAGAGCAACGGATAAAAGCCTAGAGGATTTTAGAGGTGGAACGGGTTCATATCAAATCAATTGCAAGAAGATGCAGAAGTCCATAGAGAAGCGACTTCAAAAGGAAATCTCTTGACTAGCAGAGAGATCACAAATTAAATAAAGACAAGTAGCACCTGCAAAAAAGCAGGTTTCCAATTCAGGGCAGCCAAACCAGGGTCGCTCTGAGTGCGGAGCTCACCAGGGGATTGATCCCTTCCTCCTCCTCGCCCACCGACACCAGGATGCTGTGCTGCTTCAGCTGGAAGAGGTGCGTCACCCGCAGCTTGTAGGCCTGGAAGCTGCTCAAGTCCAAGGAGCGCGGCAGGAACCATATCTGCCCTTCCCAATGTGCGCTGAGGTTAAGGGGCCTCCACAGAAGGGCGCCCGACGCCACTCGCCTCCCCTTTCGGCCGCCGCGCCCGCGCCCGGCCCCCAGCCCCTGCAGCGCCCCGCGCTACACAGCCACGGAAGGATATCCCCGAAAACGAGGCTGCCCCGGCCCGAGTCGCAGACCACGATGCCCGGAGGGAGCAGCACCAAGTTCCCGCCGGAGTCCGTCAACGGCTCCCGGTCGAAAAAAGCAAAACGCCGCCACTGCAGGTAGGCAGCCATTTGGCAGAAGGCGGGCAGAGGGCGGGCTCTCCGGCGGGCGGATGACGGACAGCCACTTCCGCAAGCCTGACGCCCCGCCGCGGGGACTCTTGGGGGCTGAAGTTCGCCGAGGCCACGCCCCATGATGCTCCTCCGGCGGGGGCGGGCGCGAGAGAAGCCCGCCCCCAGAGGCCGGGGACGTGGACCAATGGCGGCGCGTGGCGGGTGGCCTCTCCAATGAGCGCTCGCCGCGTCTACTTGAAGGCGCGTCGCTCTCGCCGCGGAAGGAGTAACTCGGCCGAGGGAGACACGCCGCGCCGGCCGCGGACATCGCACGGGACCCGCTTGCTCCACGCCCCGCCGCGACCGCCGCGCGCCCCGCAGGCTGTAGAAGAAGCCGAGCCGGCCGCGCTTCGTCAGGATGGCTCCCGCGCCCCGTCAGCCCTGCCTGCCGCTCCTCGGCCGCCTCGTCCTAGCGGCGCTGGCTTGCCTGCCCCCGCTCTCCGGTGAGCGTCTCCGCGACAGCCGGAGGCGGTTCCTTCCCCAGGCCCGCCTGCGAGAGGGGCTCCGGGGGGTCCTCCCAGCGGGACGACCGGGGGACCGGCCCCTTGCTTGCTCCGCCGGGAGGCCGCAGCCGCGCTGCTTCTGGCGGCGCCCGAAGGGCGACCCGAACCGTCGCAGGCCGCTACGGCGCTCGGCGGGAGGGTGCGGGCGAGGCGGGGATAAGTTTAAGCCCGGCTCCTCGGGGCTGAGATTTGGGGCGTTCTCCGATCGGGCCGCGACGTTCTTTGGCGAAGAGCTGACCCGGAGAGGCTTTTGTGCCGCAGATTCCTTGGCTGTGATGTCGGTGGACCTGGGGAGCGAATCCATGAAGATCGCTCTGGTCAAGCCTGGGGTCCCCATGGAGATCGTCTTAAACAAGTGAGTGGCTTGGCTCTCGCTCTGTGGGGAACGTCTCCCTCTTGTGAGGCTGGTGCTTCAGCCTGCAGGTTCTGGGGAGGCTCCTTGTAGAAGGTGTCTTGCTTTGCTCAGGGAGACTTACTGGCGTGACTCGCCTGCCTTGCTTTAGGGAGTCTCGAAGGAAAACCCCAGTAGCCTTGGCCCTGAAGGAGAACGAGCGCCTCTTTGGTGAAAGCGCAGTGGGAGTGGTAAGCCTTCAGATTCCCTTTCCTGTGTGCCCTTTTCTCTTTTTCTTTCAATCAGTTCTATTTATTTCTCAATGACTCTTGAATTGAATTTGTGCTATTTCAGCCCTTCCTCTATTGTTCTTTTTTTTCCACGCCCTCCAGTCATTAAGCAGCTCGCAGGTTCTCATTGCCTTTTGGATTATTCACACTGCAAAATGCAGAGAGGTTTTGCATTTTGAAATAGCTCTGTTTGAGTTTTATTGTGAGAAAAAACATTGCTGCTGCGTAGGTAGGTAGATAGAAAGATAGATAGATAACCTTTATTGTCATTTTTACTGTGGGCACAATGGCACACATTAAAAATGAAATTTAGTTGCTTGCTCTCATAACACATTTAAACATCCTATATACAACATATGCATAGACCTACACCAGTGGTGGCGAACCTATGGCACGGGTGCCAGAGGCGGCACTCAGAGCCCTCTCTGTGGGCACGCACGCTGTCGCTCCAGCCCTAAGCCTTCAGCTGGGTTTTATAAAACCTTTTCGCTTTAGGCCTCCGCTGCCGGGTGCAAAAAAAAAAGGTTCAACCAATCTATCAATTTCAACTTCTTGCGGGGAAAAAAAAGATCTTGCAAAGTTGGAATTGATTGTTTGAACTTTGTAGTCCCACCCAGTCTGCCATTACCACCGCAGCCACGCCCACCCAATGGGCCACACACACCCAATGGGCCACACCCAGCCAATGGGCCACACCCACCCGGCACCCGACGATGCATAAGTGGGTTTTGGGTTGCAGTTTGGGCACTCGGTCTCTAAAAGGTTCGCCATCACTGACCTACACCCTTACATATAAGTAACGTATAAATATTAATCACTGTCCATCTTGAATATATAACGGAAGGAGGACGCTTTAGAGTTCACAAGGTTAATACTGCATGGAACAAAACTGACTGAATCTGGATGTTCTGCTTCAGATACCACGGAACCTCCTCCCAGAAGGTAACAAGGAAAACAGGTCATGAAGAGGGTGTGTAGTGTCCCAGACAATCTTACATGTAGCATTGCGTGTTGTGATGCTTTTATTTTACAGACTATCAAAACTCCAAAGGTCGCATTCCGCTATTTCCAAGACCTTCTGGGCAAACATTTTGACAACCCCCAAGTGACTCAGTACCAGTCATGGTTCCCAGAGCATCAGCTAGAGAAAGATGCAAGGAGGGAGACGGTCATCATTAGGCTCTCCGAGTGAGTATCCATAGACAGTGTCTCTTGCACTGCTCAGACACAATAGCCAAGTAGTAGCCAAGTAGAGTCACAGAGTCTTCTACCTCCTGGAAATGAGTCCTGTGCTTTACTTTATTTTTTTCCTTCTGGGCATTGATCATGTGTACCAAATGTCTGTTGGAAGACACCTTATCATTATTCAAGGAGTGGGATTTGAACCATTTGCAGTTGTCATATGGATAGAATCTATAAGCATCTTTAAGGGGACTCGATTGTTTTTCTTTGCAGCAAGTTGCAATATTCTCCAGAAGAGATGCTGGGTATGGTCCTGAATTATTCTCGGGCACTGGCTGAGGACTTTGCAGGTTGGAATCGCTTTTGTGTATACATTGAAGCATGAGAATTTATTTTTGGGAATAGATGCTGGTAAAAGGCTGGGGAAGTGATTCTCCAGATGGTGTTAAGTTTTTTTCTGTTAGTCCCATCTAACAGTAGGGAGCAATGAGATTAGAGTGCAATAATAGATTGCTTCCCAAGCTTTTTCCCCTGAAATGTTAGCAGGAGGAGATGGAAACATGGAGAGACAAGTATTTTCAGGGTCAATCACATCCCTTTGCAAAGTGCAATCTTCTAGAAATGGGGATGGTTCTTACCTTGCTAATTTTTAAATCATTCTTCTGGAGGACATTTGGGGTGTGCAATTAGTTTTAACATAATTTTAACTTTGTTGCAAGCTTTTGACAGGAACTTATCAAAAATGCTGCAAGCATTGCATAATTCTAGATCTTTGTTTTATTGTTGATAACTTTTGAGTTGCTTTTAGCAATAATGTGTTAGCTGGCTAGTATGTTGCTGAAATGAGATTAGTGTTGTAAATAAATCCATTTTAAAAGTTACATATTGCCCGCAAATGAAATAAATGAAGGTACTTGAACTGTGAGCTAACTGGCTGCTTTCACTGCTCCTTCAGAGCAACCAGTCAAAGATGCAGTAATCACCATTCCTGCATACTTCAACCAAGCAGAGAGGAGAGCCGTTCTGCATGCAGCCAAAATGGCTGATCTCAAGGTTCTGCAGCTCATCAATGATAACACTGCCGTGGCCTTGAACTATGGCGTCTTCCGGAGGAAAGACATCAATGCCACAGCTCAGGTGGTTTTGGCCAGGAAGGTTGGTGGGTTGGGACAAACTGGATGGTGCATTATTCAGAAAGAACGGTCTCTTTCCCAGTTTCAAGATGAAGCTTTTGTTGATTTATTGATTATGTGCCATCAGGATAGTGTTGACTCTTAGCAACCACAGAAATAGATTTTTTTCAGGACGGTCCGTTCCCAACCTGGTCCTTCAGGCCTTCTGATAGTACACCCATTGTCACAAATTGAGTCCATCCCACCTTGCTGCTGATTGTCATCCTCTTTTCTTTCCTTCTGCCTTTCTCAGCTTTGTGGACAGCCTGCTTCTTTTTGTAAACTGAGGGTCCACAGTTTTCACGATCCTATAAAGGAATCAAGACTGTAAGAGCCAGCAAAGTAGAAATACCACATGTTAAATGGTAGTTTAGGAATAGAGGCCTCTAGGGGTTTCTGGGCCCTGTCCACGGGGCGTGGCAGTAGAGAAGGAACCAGGCTGGGCAGGCTACAGTCTGACTTGCTGGTATCCTTTTCCTAGAGGAGGCAGAGGAGTCATTCTGAATGCCTCTTCCAGGGCCTTTGAACTGCAACCTTTTTCTCTTTTCAGAACATCATGTTCTACGACATGGGGGCAAGCAGTACCGTCTGCACCATCGTGACCTACCAAACTCTGAAGACCAAGGACTCGGGGGTCCAACCTCAGCTGCAGATCAGGGGGGTTGGGTAAGAAAGAATTTATGTTTGGAATCTTATCTCTCATTTTTCTGGCAAGTCGGAAGGAAAGAGATGTGCAAATGAGTCAGAAGTTGGAGAGAAGGGAACAGAGGCCAAGCTTCATGAGGGGGGGGGAGTCAGAGGAGAGGGTTGGGATTATTTACAAGTAGCTTCTGCCTACGGCCTTCTGCCCGTGGCTGTTTTTGCTCAGCTTTGATCGGACGCTGGGAGGGCTGCAGATGGAGTTGCGCCTTCGTGACCACCTAGCCAAGCTCTTCAATGAGCAGCATCCACGCAAGGATGTCCATCAGAATCTCCGTGCCATGGCCAAGCTACTGAAGGAAGCCAACCGAGTGAAAACAGTGCTGAGTGCCAATGTGGACCACACGGCCCAGGTAGGTGGTGCCCAGAGCTCTCGACTGCCCCCAGACACCAGGAGCCTGAGGTGATGGTGGCTTTGAGAAGAATGGGAGCCGCCCATGCCAGTTCTTCGGCCGGAGGATTTGAAGTGGTGAGTTGGGGGCTCTCAAGTTCTCTTTTTTTCTTTCCAGGTTGAGGGTCTATTAGATGACATCGATTTCAAGGCCAAAGTTTCACGACAAGAGTTTGAGAATCTGTGTTCTGACTTGTTCGAGCGGGTGGCAGGACCCGTCCGGCAGGCCCTCAGTAGCGCTGAGATGAGCCTGGTAGGTACAGGAGCCGTGGGAAGCAGCCTTTGGGAGTTGCAGGGCTCCACCAGTTATTAGCAGATGAAACGGAGCAGGATTGCACGGCAACTGCTCCTTCATTTTATTAATTGGAATGTTCTTATTTTTGAGTTCGC